GCTGCTCCTAGTAGCGTCCTTGCTACTTGTAGTAAGGCCAGGAGCCCGTAGTAGCCTCCTTACTCCTAGTAGCGATTCCCTTTGCTCCTAGTAGCGTCTTTCCTATGTGTGTGGGTGTGGGGGGGACATGTCGCAACAACTTTTTTGCATGACCAAGAAGCCGTAACAAGGAGACCAATGCGGAGAGCCACTGTTTTGGTCTCTGAAGGCAAGTGGACCTGTGCATGGCGAATTGATCCTCGAGAAAACATTCACCAAATTAGAAGAACACCACAGAAGAATACAGAAGCCAAAGAAATGTCTAAATACACAGTCGTCAGTTCTAAGTAATGGCAGGTTAAGCACAGCTTGCTCAACCGCAGCTTCGATCCAAGTGGAGGCTTTCCAGAATAGTGCTAGTTTACCGGGGCGCAATGGTTGTTTACATGTTGTCAACCTGTGAAACCCAAACCATGAGCAACTGCCATGTCAATTGAAACAAACAAAGTGAAAGTGCATTCCGGCTTCTCTTGTTACCACTCTGTGGGATCTTCAACGGCTGAATGGATCCACGGCCCACAGCAAGAACGGCCCGTTTGACGTGGGTTTGGCCACAGCCATTTTATTGTACTTCATATCATGCAAATCCAGCCATTCCAAAACATTTGAGGTGTGGTAGCAAACGCCGACCAGCAAGCCAACGCAGGCAAAAGCAAGCCATGTGCAAACACATTCAAAAAGCTTAGACTCGACAGCTTCAGATTTCCTAGATATTGCCAGGAAAATGCAGCGCTCGTGCAGCACGTAGGTGCCTGATACGGAAACATGAGGGATTAATCACAGGTGCATGATTTTGGTTGAAGTAAACTAAGTACGCCTATCACTGATCATATCACCAACATTTGCGGCTGAACAAGAATAACAGTTCGGGTGTTGGGGGTTCTTGCAAGATGTATCCCTACAAATGACGATTAACGCAGGTCTTGTGCGCGCTAAGCAGTCAGTTTTCTTAACCGTAACGCTGTCTTCTTCAAGGCGTCTTGGGCTCAAATCCTCCAGCGTGTCAGCTGGATGGAGCCGGTTTTGAGTGATAACTATTCAGTTGCTTAGCCTATTGTTTGCATCTTTGAATGCTTCTGTCTGCGTCCTTTTATCATCGCATTTGGTGCCTGCACTTTTCCAAGTGCAATTTCTATTAAGACCTTTCAATATTTACTGCACTAGTAAAACATAAACTTGCCGTCTCTGGCTTTTGTGCAGCTAAAATCCTTTCTCGGCTTGGCTGAGCTGTCAGATTCACCAGTTTCACGGACAGTTTCTATAAGAGCAAAGTTAGTTATTTCTTTCATGTCTCCAACCTTGAAGCAATGGCCTCCGACCTAATAGCCATGGCCTCCCCCTAATAGCGATGGCCTCCAAAGTTGGTACAGTAATCTCTTTCATGTCAAATCTAAATCACAGTCTCCACAACCACTCCTAGGGGAAGCAAAACCATTCCCAGCATGCCATTCCAGTCAAATGGAAGCTGACAAAGCATCCTGAATAGATGTCCCTGGCACACCTTTTTTTCAGTTACCCAGCTTTATGCTGGGAATACGTGCGAATACATACTGCCATACTCTGATCTTTTTTGCACAACTATAGAACTCAATCAATATTAGGACTCGACTCATTCTTATCGTTCCTGCTTATGGATATCGTCAACTCCCTGCCGCTCCTCTGGATCTTCTTGGGCACTTTGGCCCACACAGTAGTCCCAGCTTGTCTGTCCACAGCTACTAGATTCAACCTGCCAACGGAAGCAAACCTCTGCGACCATTCATACATGTGGTAGCCAGGGCACTTCCACTTCACATGGACTTCTCTCTACAAAGAGTGATCTGACCAAAAATCATTGCTTAATTTACGACGCTGTCTCAAAAGTTCTGAAACATTCTGCATCAACTGCAAGATCATAAATACAATACCAGAAGTCAGCCAGGGGCCTCACACCAACTGCTTCCATCTCTGTCATGGCAACCATGCCATAGCTTGCAATTGTTCCTCGGGCTTGATGAAAGTGTGGCCAAGCGCAATGCGGGCATTCACTACAGTAGCCTTGTGATGCCTAATGGTACATCCTGTGCTTGCACCCGCAGCCTCCAAGGCCAGTCTCTTGTAGCTTGCCAAGACTCTGCAAGAGCCCCTGGCAAAGCTTCCATTGACGTTTGCACCTAGCCGCTGGCCGCTAGCCCGGAGTATGGGATCCGAGGAGGAGGAGGAGTGGCATGGTGCCAGTTGAAAAACAGTTGAAGTCTGCTCCAATTTGCGAGATTGAACTCCCATGGTTCAACTGCTCTAACCTCATGCACAAACGAGCATGAAGCACTTAAATTCACCAGTGACCATTGAACATTTCAACACCGAGTGCTTGCACAAGATTCCCCTATCAGGTGGTCAGGTGGAAGATACAAGGCCTTGAGTATCTGTATCCTTCAGTTTCAGCTGCCCAAATAACTTGACAAGGTGAAATACTCCGTGAAACAAACGAGCTACTGCCTGCATCCACTGGATGTTCGAAACAGCTGGCAAGGATCGCCTACCAAAAGCAAGCAAGCAAAAAACTTGATTGACTTGCTTGAGCATGTGAAAACACCGTTTTGGACTCCAATGTTCCATTTGCAAAAAAGGTGTCTTGGCAGATTCTAATCCGTGTATTTTGATGTATGATATGAAAGAGAAAACGAGAATTGAAGCGCACCAGCATGCATCACGACTCAATCTTCGCCTAGTAAGCGCCAACCGCCCTCATGACACACTGCCAAGGGCTGTCCAGCGAGCCCCATGCTGCAACGCAAAGGGACCAAGTCTGCCTGACCATTCTTCCCAACAAGAGTGCAGTTCGGGTAGAATCACAGCATGTCAACACACTTAAGGCACCCAACTTGATATCAATTAGAAAGTTTTGGTGGATCGCCAAACATCAAACGTGTAATCCTGTTTTCCTCTGTGAGAGACAACATTGTTTTATGTGTTTCAAGATTTCCAACATTCAGCCTGGCGATGATTGTCCTTTTGATGCGATACTGCGCAATCTCCAGTTTGTGACCCACGTTTGTAGCAAGGGTCCTACACATTCGTGCGTACATTGCTTGATGAACACACATAGGACACAGGATTGCAAGCACTCCAGCACTTCACAGCAACATTCAACTGTTTCGTTAGCCAAGTTTGCCTTAATTATCACTTATGCCACTAATGTATACTAATGATTTACTAATGTCACTTGCACTCTTTACATCTTTATGTCCTGTGCCCTGTGCCTGATGCTTTGAGAGATTGTGAACACAAGTTAGACCTCAGAGTTTTCTGTCCCGCTCGCTTGGGTCCGCCTCGCCAGTGCCGGTGAAGTCCAGCGTTCCAGACTGGTTGGTGCTCAGGTCGTCCTGGCGATCGCGGAGAAAGGACCGAACTTAGCGGTTTCAGCGGTTTGATACTACTAGTAAGGCACTTGTTACTACTAGCGTGGCACTTGTTACTACTAGCTTCTTGTTACTACTAGTGTAAACATGCAGTCTTGAGCCTTTACAGCAGTCTTGGGTTTAGGGTATTTGCGACCGGGAGCATTTGTCAAGAGTAACGTGAGGAGTGTATTACAGGAAGGCTGGCGCCCAGAAATATAAATAATGCCTGCAAGCAAACAGGTTATGAGCCCTTTGCATCCTTCCAAAAGACTCCAAACTGCTTCTCCAGGAAGGATTCCAAACCACCACATCGTAATTTACAGCCACCCTCCACACCTTCAGCCAATCATGCCAGTGGTCAAACCGTTGAGAACTTGCAGTTGTGTCCCAATATTTAATCATACTGCTCTTGGAAACCTGGGTGAACATACAAAAAGCTTTTCTATATTGGTACTGGCCTACCCTGCGTGACACTGAGAAAGCGCTACTAATGTTCAGGGGAAAGGGCTAAGGCGTTAAAGAGGTTTAACCAGCAAAAAAATACTGTTGAATAAGCAACCACCCATGACTTGGAACAATATGAACATAAAGGTACAAATATATATTATAACAATCATATAAGTATCTGGGTCATCTAAATATCTATTGTAACAATCATATAAGCATCTGGGTCCTCTGCAGTCAAACACCTTATAGTGTCAGCATGTGTTAGCCTTCATTCTTGCATCAGCTTCACCAACTGCATTCACTCTGCTCGTTTCAAACTCATGGACAATGTCATCGATCTCTTGATGGGCAATCAAAGCTTCTGCTGACCAGGTTGCTGAAATTCCCATCCTCGCGACAGGTAGCAATGAGTGTACCTTTGGGTGCAGTCAGGCAGCCAGAACAAGTTCCAGAAAGATCCCCAAGCGAATCCAAGCGACATAAAACATATGTGAAACACGGAGTGATCCATCACACATATGAGACTCTGCCAGACCGCTCTAGCTGATTTCCCAACCAAAGTTGTGTGACACGGAGCAAGAAACCCAAGGACTGAAGCAACTGACTGCAACTTGTTACTACTAGCGTGGCACTTGTTTCTAATAGCTTTTTGTTACTACTAGTAAGGCACTTGTTTCTAATAGCTTTTTGTTACTAGTAGTAAGGCACTTGTTACTAGTAGCGTGGCACTTGTTACTACTAGTAAAGGCACTTGTTACTCCCAAGCCTTCCAACGTTTGGACCCCTGCTGACAGCCTCCATAGCCTGGACTACATTGGTATGTGACACGAAGGCCCTCAAAGAAGCCTGGCACATCTGGCTGCTGCCCCGCCCCCGCTCTGGGGATGTCCAAGTTTAGTTGTGGAAATGGATCAGGCAGTTGCCCAAGAACAGCATTTGAAACACACACTTACACAGTGACAATGATTTTTCAGATTTTCTGTGTGGCATCCTCTATTTCAATAGCATATGAAGAACAAAGCAAATTAATGATGGTTGAAATTGAGAATAAAACTCCTGAGCTTACCGAGATTAAAGCGTAATTACAGTCTGCTCGGCAACGATTCGTCGCACACCCGCAAATTGCAAAATTGTGTTCGAACAATGAGCACCAAGACGTAATGACCCCGTAATGACTAGTACTAGCGATATTGATATTGGACTGTCACACGCGATTTAGTCACATCAGACTCACAAGTAAAGTAAACATGCCTCTGTGCCGAAGCATCGGTGATTCCTCCATGAGTCTGACATGGCTGACCAAGGTGACAACAAAAAACTACTAGTAAGGCACTTGTTACTGGAAGCGATGCACTTGTTTCTAGTAGCTTCTTGTTACTACTAGTAAGGCACTTGTTACTAGAAGCCATGCACTTGTTTCTAGTAGCTTCTTGTTACTACTAGTAAGGCACTTGTTACTAGAAGCGATGCACTTGTTTCTAGTAGCTTCTTGTTACTACTAGTAAGGCACTTGTTACTAGAAGCGATGCACTTGTTTCTAGTAGCTTCTTGTTACTACTAGTAAGGCACTTGTTACTAGAAGCGATGCACTTGTTTCTAGTAGCATTGTGTTACTACTAGTAAGGCACTTGTTACTAGAAGCGATGCACTTGTTTCTAGTAGCTTCTTGTTTACTACTAGTAAGGCACTTGTTACTAGAAGCGATGCACTTGTTTCTAGTAGCTTCTTGTTACTACTAGTAAGGCACTTGTTACTGGAAGCGACGCACTTGTTTCTAGTAGCTTCTTGTTACTGCTAGTAAGGCCAGGAGCCCCTAGTAGCTTCTTGTTACTACTAGTAAGGCACTTGTTACTACTAGCGTGGCACTTGTTACTAATAGCTTCTTGTTACTACTAGTAAGGCACTTGT